TTTACTTCAGATCGAAGAGAGAAATACCCGACGAATGGTGGATAATTGTCCGTAAATTTATCCGAAGTTGCCTAAAAAATTATGCTAGCGGATGTAAATGATTACTCAATATCCAGGAATTGATCTGTATGGAGCAGAATGATTTTGATCAAACGCTGTACAGCAAATTCTCGCTTCGGTGCATTCCCAACAGGGAATCGTAATTTTTGCATCCACAATATAATGTCTTTGCTGAACGGATCGTAAGATATTCTCCACAAAAAGTACTTTTTATTGAAAAACATTTCCGCGTCAATGTTTAATTTTCATGTTTAATTCTCACTGACATTTCAAGAAATTTTGTCATTGAGAAATAAAATTTTCCAGTGATTTTCGAATGATCTGGATATCAATCAAGTATTTGATTTTTCAGTTCAATTATTCTGTGAAAATTCAGAAAAATCAGGAAAACTCGGGGAAAAATTGGAAATTCATGTTCCACTGACAATTCAATCAACTTGTAAAATGTTCCTCTCACTCCACTGAAAACTCACGAACTCATGAAAACTCATGATGAAATTTCAAAAAATTTATAACATTGTAATAATCACATAAAAAAATTTCAAATGAAATTTTGCCCTCCTGGAATGTAAACTCCAAACTCCATTAATTTCCGAAGTAACAATTGACTTGAAGATAACAAATCTTCACCTTTGTCATCTCCACCTAATGAATTGTCCCCCAATGAAAGAACCACGATTTGAAACAGAGAAATTCATCGATTCGTGTTATTAACCCAACGGAACATGTCATTAAACAAACTCCTTTTCCCCCCGTGTCATTAGAGAAAAGGAATTATCATCTGATTGCCAGAGGGCCCCGTATCCTGTTCCCCAATTTTTTTCAGACAAAACATGAACGGATCATTACAATTTTTTGTGCAACAACATCGCTGGCTAATCCCATCCTGTTTTATTCTAATCCATCGTTCGGCCCAGGATATTCCTCCGGAGGGAACTGAGGTGAGAGGACAGTGGATTGTAACATGTGTCAAGATGGCGGGTTACCATGGCAACTCTCCTGGAAACCGGCGCTGTTCCATCAGCATTTATTCTACCATCATTTCACGAGAATTCTCTAGGCCTCCGATCCCCCGAAAATTCCAAAACCGCGAGTGACAGCACCAATCCCCGAAAACCGAATTAATTCGTCTCTTTTTCTACTGGAAATGATACCGGAAAGACGCAGCACTTTCACCCGGGTCCGCGCCGGAGAAAGGATCAATTGTCTAATTGTTGAGAATACCAACTGGCCAGTGGCCGTCACGCTACTCTTCAATTCCCATCGACTTTCGAATAAGTTTTTACTCTCAATGAAATCACGAAACGAGAAATTTCAGGGATCAAAACGACTTTTTGTCGTGCTCCTAGTTTTTTTATGACTTTGAGGAATGCGCGGTGGGGGGAAGGAGCTTAGAAGGGTCCTGGAATGAAAGGGACCGCTAGGTAGAAAGAGGGGGATTGAATTGACCTGGCAAAAACCAACGGTCGGAATCCATCGTCCTAACGCTTTGGAGCAAATGCATTTCGGAGCAAATGCATTTCGGAGCAAATGCATTTCGGAGCAAATGCGTTTTGGAGTAAACGTCAAAATATCATTTCGGAGCAGCATTACAATCTCCCGGTGGAGCAAGCCTTCAAAGTAAATTACGAAGCCCTTCACATCCCAAAAATTAACAAAATAATATTAATTTTACCTCCGAAGGTATATGTAATCCAATAAAGCAGGCCACAGGTAAAAAATCAAGAGCACTTGTTATCTCGCCACAGAACTCGCGTTATCAACGTGAAATGATGTCTCCTGCGTGCGTACGTATTAAAAACCCGTATTACAGTGACAAATGACCGGAAGACCGAGAGAACGAGCGAGGAGATGCGCGCACTAGGCGAAATGAAACGCAACAGTAGTGGGGGATTTATAAGGTCGAAAAAGGTGGAACGACGGCGAAGAATGGGGATGGAAAATTGGTGGAAAATAAAACAATTAGAGGAGTGGAGTTATTGTCAGTCTGTACGAGTGGAGTTTAGCTACTGCTGTCAGGCCGAAAACCGGGCTCGACGAGGACTAAATGCTTCTCGGTGAGTTCTCAGTTGCATGGGGTTACCTCGCGTCGTCTCGTTTGCCCACCACGCCTGCGTTCGGGTTTATTCGTTTCTGTCTTGCCGGCCGGATATTGCCGAGTTGAGCCGAAATGGGTAATGTCAAGTTTTGTACACATGCGTAGAAGGCATTTTGAACATTCAAAAGAACAATGAGAGCATTGAGAGAAAGAGGAATCGAAATTCTGGGACAAATTGGCTGGGGATGGTTATGAATATTTCTGGGGAATTGGATCTACAAGTGGAAGAGATTATTCGAAAGTTGTGTAGTATTTTTACTCCAGGGCGTATCCCCTCCGTCTGAATTCCACAAGTATGACCCCAGGGTCAGATAAAAAAAAGCCCTGTAAACAAGATCCGAGTGCACGTGGCACGCCCCAAAAAACACTTTCGATATAGGGGCTAATTATAAACCTGCAGCGACGGCAACAGTTCAACTACAGCGACAATTCATTTCGAGTTTATCGGGGAATGGAGCTCTCTTTATCAGTCTCAAGCAGCGGGGGCAGTTAATTCAGCTGTTCGATTTCTGTATTATCCGCGGGGTATTGCTCGGTCAAACTTGGAGGGGTTTGAGGGGTAATTAGTGCGCCTCCGAATTTTTTTATTTGTGCATTGATTAGTTTAATTATTTCCCTTGTGTAGAGGTCAGGGGAGTGTAGGGGCAGCTATAGACATCCCTCTTTTTAGGTAATTTATGCTAGGATAGGATTATCTTTTAGAGTTTGGTACAGAGAACACTATAAATTCAATCATTTTCAATCATAAAATTTATTAATTAAACGGTATGAGAACAATTCATTCATTTTCAGCGTCATTAAAATTCCATTTTGCACAGAATTATTTTTTTTTTAATGGTTTTTTATAAATAAATCATTGAAATTGTTCAAACATTCGGAAACTTAATTTTTTTGATGAATACGTAGACTTTCTCATTTTTTTTAGATCTTTCAAATATTTTCTGACGGTTTAATATCGAGGTATAAATTCAGACCTGCAAATGCAGCGACAGCAATTCAGACCTTCAGCTCTGATTCAATTACGGAAGTAGAAAATCATTTCACTCGAGAAAAAATAGCCAAAGTACTTTGATCTCCTCAAATATCTTGAATTCTCCTGTCTTCAGCTTCAATGCATCCTCTGGATTATTCCATGCTCCCCAGTGGCGTGTTTACCGATTTATTTCCCTCCGGATGAATCGTATTATTTTCGACAAGAGAACCCGCTTGTATTGCGTCTCAGACCCCCTAAAATTCCCACTCCTCCCGCCTTATCTTCTCCGTCGTTCCCTCCAGACAAACAAAATTATACGAGTGTCTTCAGATGTGAATGGAGATACCGGCTGGCAATCCACCCACACATCGTCCCCCCTCGGACCCCGATAGTCTGTCTTTCACTACTCATTATCACGTTTGATCCCATTAATGACTCGTGTACGTGTCCCGCATGCGTGATACACCGAGAAGAATACATAGATCTCTTAAATTTCAGATACAGGAATGGGGTAAGAGACTCGCACATTACTCTCTCTCCTCCTCACATCTGGTGTACACATTTGATGCATATATTGTGGCCAACAGACGGCACACGATACTCAGAAACAGGTTACCATGTAACCGTAAAATGAAAATTCAATACGTCTGGCGATTGGTAACGCAATTTGTGGTTCGTTTCGCAGTTGGCTGGCATCAAATCGCATTTCGCTAGACGTGACTTGTAGATTTTTTTTAATGCCTATGGGGAAGCCGCTTGACCATGAAATTCTTTTGAAAGAATGTCAGAAATTCTAATCGATGTTCTAACGACACACAACCCCCCTCCCTGCCCCCTCACGTATTTATTTTGGGTCTAGGTGTGCCACATGACGTCACCCCACGTGCGTACATCATTGCCACATGTGGGTGTTTCGCGGCGCGACATTATTCACTCGATTATTTTTTTTAGATTGTCGAAAGACAATTTTCCAGACAGTCGGGACGCACTCGTCCATGAAATATTGCACGGATAGACTGATTCGTTCATTTCAATCGAGATTCGTTAATTATTAATGAATGGTAAAGTTCGATATGACCAAATAAATATTCGTTGATAGTTAACGAATGGTTCACTTGAAAGGTGAAAGTCGAGTCAAACAAGGCTCCGAAAATATGCATTCGTTAACTATTCATTAATGAACATTTGGTGGGACCGAATAGCCCCTAGACTTCAGTCAAATCTATTTGTTAACTATGACTAATCCTTTCTATCAGTGTGGCGGAGATTTTTTCGATAATTTGGTAGAGCTAAAAATTTCGGAATTGTAAACAGAAAAAATGGATTTCCGGGGATTTGTGACTGATTTTTAGATATCTGTCAACAATTATTGGTGATAGTGGGTAGTGACTAGAATAACCTTGACCGTCAGTTATTTTTGTCACTGAAGTTTGGCGACAGATTTATAAAAATCAGTGGCGAAGCGGTAACATGATTTAAGTCGAGCTAGTTCTCAGGCGAGTTTTCGAGGAATATCTCCGAATCTAAGGGAGATATCGAAATTTTTGTAAAAAACTTTTTTCTAGGGCGAACTGAGTGCTGCCAAAAAGGTTGTAACAAAAATTTTGCTACCTCCCTTAGATTCCGAGATATTCATTGAAAACTGGTTAATAGTCAAAATTGATTTGAACTGTTTTACCGCTTCACTACGGAATGAATTATGAAAAATCAGTGACATTTCCTTGGAAATTAATGACGATGTCACCGAAAATTAGTACCAAATTCACTGAATTTTATGGATGAACATGTCCCTGAAAATCAAAATCTTTTCTTCCGTTTGCATGAAATTTCAAGACTGATCTCTTTAAAGTGCGTGAATAAATTACTTACTCAGTGTCTGGCACTGGCATCATCGGGAGCCGACCATTATGCTCCGGAAAGTGATTGATTTCCGGTTCTTCCTGCACCGGGGTTTCGTACACCAGTGTCTCAACCATGGAGCCTTTGCTCGATCCAAAGGATACCCTGTGCAAAAAATAAATCATGAAGTATTAAAAGACTTTATGCTGGAATTGTCAATCGAAATTTCACTTTTTATAATTTTTTCTCGTGATAAGTCTCGTTTAATTCAATATGTTCATGAGGAAATCAGTGGGGTGGAGGGGGGGGGGGGGAAAATGGACACTTTTAACATTTTTAAAAATCTAGATTGATCACAATATGATAGAAATCATTGACTGGATAAGCGGAAAAATAAAAAAAAATACTGTTTCAATTGAATTGTATAACACATTATAGTAGTTTTAGAATAATAATTCTCAAAATTGTGAAAGAATTTGTTGATAGAAAATTATCGCCTGCTTTCAGCAAATTCCATTATTTATTCATGAAAACAAAACACTTTAAAAAATTCTCAATGTCACAAACTGCAAATGGAATGATACTCATTACGTATAAATTCCCTCAAATTTCTCTTACTCCATTTTCTTCACAAATCCAAAAACCGAGAAAATCCAAATCGACAGTGCGATCCGGTCGAACCTGTCGTCGACAGTAGACTGCTGTACTTCACCGATATTTAACGAATAAACAATAACGTAATTTGATTTCCTTATCACTACCCAGTGACGCGGTAATGAAAAATCAATTATTAACTCATCATTCAATCAACAGCCATTATCGATAATAAAAGTAATAAAAATTCCATACCAACAGTAATCAAAATTTTTTCAACATGATTAACCTAATGAAAAATGAATTAGCCTTTATGATTCGGGAAGGGAATTCTCACAACAAGAGCAATAATTTCCTATGATTTTACATCAACTACTAATGCAGTAATGAAATATTATTTTCCTGCAGATCATTATTTTTCAAATATATTCAACATTATTCGCCCATTATTTCGCCCATTCACCAGTCATGACATTAAAAACTTTTTAACATCAATACATTTTATTTGAATGAGTGGGGGTCGCGGTGGCACGAAAGCCGCAGAGAATATATTCTCAGGAAACCTCAGGTTTCCTATCGCGTGTCAGGTAAATGGCGATGATAACCACAGAATGAAACGGGTATCCAGTGCCGTTACATCACAGGTGGAGCTTAACTACTAAAATTCCCAAATAAAGACATGTCCCTCCGAAATTGAAAAAAAAATTGAATTTCCCGCCTCATTCAGTTTACCGACAGAACGTTTTAGGAGTGTCGAGCCCTGCGGAAAGCCCCAGGAGGTGGCGCCACGCGCCCGGAGTTCACACAAGCGGCAAATTCGAACGAAAATCCTTTATCGGGAGTCACGTGTTCAATTAAACTGCGAAGAAGGGGAACCGGAGGGATTGTGTCACCTCAAATGACGACGCAGTGTCCGGATGCAGTGTACATCCCCCCCTAGTTCGCACTCAATTAAAAACATTGCGCAATTTACAATGGCGCATTGAGCGAACGACGAGAGGAGAACAACATTCCCATTGTGTTTGTTATTCTCGCTTTTATGCTCCTCAATAGCCGGCGGCAAATAGTCTCAAGGTGAAAATCCAGACGTGCGTCTGGGAGACAGTTAGGGGTAGGTCGGGGTCGAGGCCATGTAGACCAAGCCCTATCGATCCTCGACGGATCCAGACAACATCTCGCATCATAAACACAAGGCGTAAAACAGCGTTAAAAAGGATATAAACGAGAGGTCTAGGAGTGACCGGAGGTTTTCTCGAGGAACTGCGAACACTCCGGGGGAAACAGCAGGAATCAATTTTAATTGGAAGTGAACAGAACAGGAGAAATGAAGAAGAAGTTCACGCTGAGAGAAGAAATTAGTTCTGCCGAAAAACTAAACTCACGAAGAGTTAACAAACTTGAAATAAAATTTAAGATCTTTCACAGAAATTAAATTTTCTCGTGATCTCTGGAAGGATTTGAACTGTCGGCTGGAAAACATATAATTTATTGTACCACGATCATTCGGCGCGAGAGAATCCCATATATTGACGCGGAAGAAATATTATTTTCAAAAAAAAACGAAAATTATTCCCCGAAAAATTATTTAGTTTTGCTAATTACCGTTTTTGTGGGAGAAAAATTCAGGTTTTCTCTGAGTTGTAATTTGTTCCGTGAAAATTATGGGTGTTTAGTGGATCGATAAATACATATACTACCCAATCATATGCACTTGTTGTAACCGGAGCCTCATATAATTCTCTACAGAACTAATTTATTTATCTACTAGATATTAGTTTAAAGAAATTATCATGTCCTGTTGGAAACTTTCTCTAATGTCTACAGCTAAATTGATTCAACACACCGAAAGATCTCTTCCATGGAACATGATTTTTCGACAGAGCTGATTTTTTTCTCAGTGTAGTACATTTCCCTAGTGAAACGGTAAAACGGTTCAAGTGGATTTTGACTATTTGTCAATTTTCCATCAATATCTCTGGATCTAAGACAGACAGCAAAATTTTTGTCATAACCTTTTCTGCAGAGCGGATTGATATCTACAAAAAAGGTCATTACAACAATTTATCCATCTCCTTTAGATTCGGAGATATTCTTCGAAAACTCAGTGAAGAGATAAATGGGTTTTTCACTCGACTGAAGATGGCGTTCGAGCCGAAGGCGAGGACCGCCAACCACACGAGTGATAAAATCCCATCGCAACAGCCTGAACAATACATTTCCGTAGTAATTTTCAAGCCTTCGAGTTTGGCAAGTACGCAGTACCAATTCCCAAAAGAGAAATCGTGAGACTTAGTACGGAAAATAAATTTTAATTGGAAGTGAACAGAACAGAACAGAATAAGTTCAATGAAACGATCAAATGACTCTCAGCAGTCTCATCAGTCCTCGCGCGATCATCGACTGAGAAAAAAAAACTTGGTCACTGATATTATCACCCTAGTCTGCAAGCAGTTAACAGAAATTGGCTGAGTAGGCGAGTGTATAAATGGACTCACTGTTGGTCAAATGGAATCGCGTACGAGCCGAGCCCGAGTTATCAGGTAATAACGACTCTCCTTCATGAATCTCTAATAGAATACTCGTTAGTGCGTGATAATTGTGAGCTGTGTCTGTCTGCAATCAGGTGACAAGTCCCAGTGCACGCTTGAGTTCTTGAGCATGGGAAAATTCATATAAAAAAATACACCACTGAAATAGAAAGGAGGAGATGCGCAGTTTAGTTTTTGGATCGTGTCCAGAGAAATGGGATTTTTATAAAACAAATAGAGATTAATATAACGCATTATGCAGTGTCGTCCACTGTCACATGATTTTCTTTACATTCTCCACCAGTTATCTTATGTTTTTACGGTAAAATCCATTGAAAATGGGCACACCCATTAATCACACGGGCTAATCCAAGTGACCCTGAGTGAAGCAGCTATCCACACACATAAACACGCGTTACAATGTGCTAAAGCCCAAGTTTAATTGGTGGAACTGGAGTCACGTGAAGGATTTATAAAATCCACATTAGCCCAAGGGACTCAAGGATAATTGGATGGTATATAAATAGTCATGTACCTGGAAACCTTTACCGCCCACACACCAGTTTGAAAATCATGCTTCACGTGTGATAATTGGAGCCCTCGAGATGGACAATATGAAAAAAGGCACGAGCTTGTAACAAAAATAATGGAGAGAAAATGAAAAGAAAGAAAACTCCATCACGCCCATGTTTAAACATGACGGCATTTTGATCTCTCCGTGGTTACGTTTTTATAATTATAATTGTTGGGCTTTGTTGGAGAGAAATGATGCGCGTGGGCGTTTTTGGCGCTCCGAGCCAACGATTCAGAGACGAGTCTCTCGACATTAATGCGAAACGCATTATTTTGATCATGATTAAGCGCGTGCATTCTTTGATGCAGCGGTTCTTGTGCTTTTGTTCGGTTGAATATGCGTACAAAGCTTATTAGTTCTTCAATTTTTATCTTAAGGAGAGTGAGGGAATTTTGGGGTGACGATGCGTCGAGAATTTGCGAATATTATTGAAGACTCTAGGGGACTTTGCATCCGCAGGGAAAAAAAGTTTATGGTTTCCAATCCCATGGTAGTGGATTTTTAGAACTTTGAGTTCTTAAAATAAGAACCGTTGTCATTCAAACATTTCTATTTGTAATTTGATTCCAGAGCCAGAGCGCCTTGATCTAAGTATCAAGGGTACTGGATTGCGGTGAAAGTCAGAAATTTTCCTAGAAAAATTTCCCTGGAATCTAGTACTTTTTGTCTCTAAAAACCAGAATTTTTTTTCGATTCTTGTGTTTTTTTTCAGTCGGATATGTTTATAAAGCTTATTAATTCTTTACTTTTTATCCCTAAAACTCTAGTCTGGTCACCAAATGCGCTCCTGCGACTGGGTCACCTCCGCGGGGATTCCCCGCCGTGTTACTTAGGCTTTAGCGTTGCCGAATTCACTCTGCACTACCCGGGCGCGGTTAGCGAGTTTCCGGCAACGTCGCGTCACGGCAATTTCATTTAACATGGGAAAAATAATTCATCTGTCCGGAATAATTTGTTTTCTTCAGGAATTTTGGGAAATATGTTGTTCTAAAAACTGCTGTATTTTTTTAGATACGTCAATTCACAAAGTCAATTTTTTTTTTTAATTTTTTCGGTAAGCCAGTCAATTGTAATTGAAGAAAAAGGACGCGCTGAGTTAAGGGGAACAAGGGGATTTTAGGGAGACGTAATGCACTCGATGCTTCAGGAATTTCGAAAAATTCCTGACGCAGAAAAAAAAGTTTCCGTTTCCAATGCCACGATATTGGATTCAAGAACCGTTGGGTACAGGAATCAAGAACTTTGGATTCTTAATCGTCGCGTGACGTAATGTGCTCGATTTGTCAGGAATTCCGAAACATGAATCAAGGTTCCATGGAACATTGCGTAACCGAATGTATTGCAAATATCGGTTAAAAGGAGATGGATCAATTCTTCTTTATAAACGTTGAGTTGTTAATGAGGCTATTCTCAGTGTATTGTTTTCCCTTCTTCTTCCACGTGGGAACTGACGAGAGAATGATAAAAGAAGTACTATTTTCGAGCCTTGACACTGAGAATTCCTCGGCTACATGATTCACGCCAGCACGCAATATCATTGCTTGTTGAATTGCCGTTGTTGCGCAATTTATCCGCGTGTGTGCGAGAACGTTAAACTATTATTTCGGTCACTGGTTGAGGATGGAAAATAGATGGGGATAGGGTATCTCGATTCGAGAGTGGAAATGGTAGTTTTGAGGAAATGAAAGAATTGTGACGTGGGTTGTGATGTATGGGGAGTCGTCCTGGGGATGTGACGTGGAATTTTCAGATCATTTGATATTACGGGGAATATTGTAGATTTGATGAGGTTCAATCATCCAATTTTTCAACCAGACTATACAATACTCAAAAAGATTGCGGGGGGGGAGAGCGAAGCGAGCGGGGGGGGGACCCTCCCCGGAGTTGACGAGCGACGGGAGCAGGGGGCTACGCCCCTTAGTAAAATCAGTAAATAAAATAAAATAAAAATAGCATAAACAAAATAAATAAAATAGATAAAATAAATAAAACAAATAAAATGAATGAAATAGATAAAATAAATCAATGATTGACATTTACCTTTTGAGACTAGCGTGTTTGGCGCCATTAGCAATTTTCGACTTCCTGTCACTGCCGCCGGTGCTCGCCTCACTATTGATGCTGTGCAAACTATCATCCTTGGTTATCCTAGAGGTATGAAGTGTCGATTTTCTCGTAGTCGTTGTTCCACCATTGTGCTTGGGGCTCTCACCAATCATCTCATTCCCCAAACGATTATCACTGCCGTCATTATCAATTCTATTCGTGGATAACGTCGTCGTAATCATCGTAGTGGCTGTTGGTGATGTTTTATTGATTCCATTGCGCGTCATCTGATGATCTCCACGAGTTTGAATTCGAGTTAGACGACTGCAGGACTGGGTTTCTCCGGGTGGAGGCTTGTCTCCCGTTGGTAGCATATACGATAGCATCGTTAAAATTCTTCACTGCAACAAATAACAAATAATTACTCGCATTAATGGCACTGTTTTAACTGTATCAACGTTTTTACAGGGATAATTGATTGCTCCACTTGCAGTTCGATCAACTTTTGATTTTTTATCCGATTATTATCGATCCATGCTCTTCCGGAATGCACGCTCAATATCCGTTACAGATGAGCACAATTGTCAATGCGTGAGTGTAATCAGGCTTCTGCGTTCAGCCAAGCGTGATACAAGAATTCGATTTAAATCTAAATTCATTGTATCGATCATTCCCCCCCTGCGAATAGATGTGCACTGGTTCATGCCAGTTGTTCGCATGATTTCAAAGAAACAACAGTTAAATAATTTCACGACACACATGGGTATAAATAACACGTGACAGCTGTGCTAGTACTCCGAACGTAATAAAAAGTGAATAAACAAAAACAGAATATTCAGCACCTTCTGATTGATAAAATCATCAAGAGTGCATCACGTGTCTGTTTTAACTCTCCGTCCCCTCCCGTCACATTTTATTCGCCTCACGCGACACTCGTATGCGAGGAAAAACTGTTTTCCCCCCCTGCAATCGATGATGAATAAACGCGCGCGAGGAGAGCACTGAGCGTTGACTGCGATCGAAGGACCGTTTGACTGAGCGGCTAATGCTTGAAAAACATGACGCAAAAAAAATAAATGTATAGATACTCAGCCAAAGGTTACGTGTATGCAGGAATGATGCGTTCAGCACGCCTGCCCACACACGTACTCGCTTCACTATTCGTACAACAATTTTCTAGTTGTTTTGGGATACTGTTCGCTGGGGAATTGGAAAATACAGCGGGAAAACAGCTCAGTATCTGAAGCATATTTACTTGGGACAAGTATTTATAATTACTCTTTAATCGATTAATTCTCCCAGGCATTTCAACTCACGTGGCCCGAGAAATGTCTCACACTGTTGGAAAAAATATGAAATTTCATATTTCATATTTCATAGTGGACGGTTGACCACTATTTTTCAGGGCAGTGACACTGAATCCGTTTTAGGGGGAAAAAAGTCATGAATTTTAATCAGCATAAAGACGACAATTCATTAATTTATTTCAGTAGCGAAGTGGTAAAAGGAGATAAGTCAATTTTGACTATTGACCGGTATTCAATCAATTTCTCGGAATCCAAGGGAGAGAGCGAAATTTTTGTTATAACCTTTTTTGTGGAGCCAATTGAGTGCTACAACAAAGGCAATTACGAAAATTTCGCTATCTCCCTTAGATTCCGAGATATTGATAGAAAACTGGTTAATAGTCAAAATTGACTTATCTCGTTTTATCACTTCGCTAATAATTTGAATTTTCAATTTGATATGAATATTCTGTGCCAAATTACATTGAATTTTCAGTGAAATCTGAAATTTCATTATTTTTCCACGCTAAACCGTTTTCGCTGTCACTGTCCTGAAAATTCCAGACTACATTTACCGGACTTTTGTGGTTATCTAAAATGTGGTTAAAAATTCTCTAAAATGAATTTTTCGGTGATGAATATTGCACTAGTTTCAGCTTCATGAAAACCCTCGAATGCTGTAGTAGGAATATATTTTGCCGATTAGATCAGATGATGGAGAATAGCCAGACGCACTAGAGAGTGCAGTTTTAGGTTGTTTCAGACCATTGCATACGAACAAGTCCAATCCGTTCTACCTTCATTTTTATTTAAAACTGCTGACCACATTGCCCTGCAACTGTGGTTTATAAATAAATTATTTTCGAGCACTTACGTTTTATACTGGACGGATTGCATCCCCGGTACTTCCAAAGGTCCAGCATCGGAGGCATCTGTAACACGATAAAATGAACATGATGATATCAATATTCCAAGGGAATTGCGCTCAACTCTAATGGATTTTAGTTCGATAAGTGACAGGAGTAATTAACACATGAATAATCTCAACACTAGAAGAGTAAATATTGAATTCTGCACCAAATTGTTGGAGTTTTTTCGGTTTAAACCAGCAAAGTCTACCACTATAAGTTATATTTTGGTTGAACGATGAAAAAGTATGAAACTTCGAGAAGAAATTAATAAATTTTCTGAAATTTTCGATATTTAATGACAAATTAAATTTTTGTTGCTGTAAAAACGGTGCAGCGGAGGTTTAAAAGGAATGCCCATTGTTAGTGTATATCACAGTAATGTTCCTAGAACCGTGTAACAGCATTACTCAGGTTGCCGAACATCAGCAGAAGCCAATGATTTTTGTGTTGGAATGAGCGTGTGTTGAATAATAATGAAACCGTAACATGATAAAATGAAAATAATGCTGTCGATGTTCCGGAGGAATTCACCTCATCTCTAATGGATTGAGTATCAATTTTACGCTCACGTAGGAAAAAACAATAGAAAAATCTTGCGAATCTAGCGGATTATTCTCATTCTATTTTTCTGTTCTTTTCATCAAGAAAATCAAACAAAAAAATATAAAATTTAAACCCAGGGGATTCTATACAAAAACTCTCAATAGAATGAGTTGTATAGTAAAATATAATTCTATTGACTCTTTCGAGCGAATATTTCCTATTGAACATGCTAATAGAATCGGCCAAAAACTAATAGAAAGTTCAATAGAAGTCCAATATAATTGTCTAGTNCAGTGACACTGAATCCGTTTTAGGGGGAAAAAAGTCATGAATTTTAATCAGCATAAAGACGACAATTCATTAATTTATTTCAGTAGCGAAGTGGTAAAAGGAGATAAGTCAATTTTGACTATTGACCGGTATTCAATCAATTTCTCGGAATCCAAGGGAGAGAGCGAAATTTTTGTTATAACCTTTTTTGTGGAGCCAATTGAGTGCTACAACAAAGGCAATTACGAAAATTTCGCTATCTCCCTTAGATTCCGAGATATTGATAGAAAACTGGTTAATAGTCAAAATTGACTTATCTCGTTTTATCACTTCGCTAATAATTTGAATTTTCAATTTGATATGAATATTCTGTGCCAAATTACATTGAATTTTCAGTGAAATCTGAAATTTCATTATTTTTCCACGCTAAACCGTTTTCGCTGTCACTGTCCTGAAAATTCCAGACTACATTTACCGGACTTTTGTGGTTATCTAAAATGTGGTTAAAAATTCTCTAAAATGAATTTTTCGGTGATGAATATTGCACTAGTTTCAGCTTCATGAAAACCCTCGAATGCTGTAGTAGGAATATATTTTGCCGATTAGATCAGATGATGGAGAATAGCCAGACGCACTAGAGAGTGCAGTTTTAGGTTGTTTCAGACCATTGCATACGAACAAGTCCAATCCGTTCTACCTTCATTTTTATTTAAAACTGCTGACCACATTGCCCTGCAACTGTGGTTTATAAATAAATTATTTTCGAGCACTTACGTTTTATACTGGACGGATTGCATCCCCGGTACTTCCAAAGGTCCAGCATCGGAGGCATCTGTAACACGATAAAATGAACATGATGATATCAATATTCCAAGGGAATTGCGCTCAACTCTAATGGATTTTAGTTCGATAAGTGACAGGAGTAATTAACACATGAATAATCTCAACACTAGAAGAGTAAATATTGAATTCTGCACCAAATTGTTGGAGTTTTTTCGGTTTAAACCAGCAAAGTCTACCACTATAAGTTATATTTTGGTTGAACGATGAAAAAGTATGAAACTTCGAGAAGAAATTAATAAATTTTCTGAAATTTTCGATATTTAATGACAAATTAAATTTTTGTTGCTGTAAAAACGGTGCAGCGGAGGTTTAAAAGGAATGCCCATTGTTAGTGTATATCACAGTAATGTTCCTAGAACCGTGTAACAGCATTACTCAGGTTGCCGAACATCAGCAGAAGCCAATGATTTTTGTGTTGGAATGAGCGTGTGTTGAATAATAATGAAACCGTAACATGATAAAATGAAAATAATGCTGTCGATGTTCCGGAGGAATTCACCTCATCTCTAATGGATTGAGTATCAATTTTACGCTCACGTAGGAAAAAACAATAGAAAAATCTTGCGAATCTAGCGGATTATTCTCATTCTATTTTTCTGTTCTTTTCATCAAGAAAATCAAACAAAAAAATATAAAATTTAAACCCAGGGGATTCTATACAAAAACTCTCAATAGAATGAGTTGTATAGTAAAATATAATTCTATTGACTCTTTCGAGCGAATATTTCCTATTGAACATGCTAATAGAATCGGCCAAAAACTAATAGAAAGTTCAATAGAAGTCCAATATAATTGTCTAGTAAAATCGCTAGGTTCTTCTATTAAATTTTTCCATATGTGCTGCCACGTGACCGGATAAATTAATACATCATAAACTCAATACAAGAACAATAAATGTTGAATTCTGATAAATTATAAACTTTCAGCAAGAAAATTATAAATTTTCTGAAATTTTCCATATTTCATAACAAATTAAATTCTTTTTGCTATGAAGAAGCTACAGCGGAGGTTAAAAAGGAATACCCATTGTTGTTGTACATCCCACCAATGTCACCAGAACCATGTAACAGTCCTACATAGATTGCCAAACATCATCAGAGCCCCGACAATGATTTTATGTTGAAATGACCGTGTGTTGAATAGTAATGGAGCCGTAACATGAGAAAAGGAAAATAATGCTATCGACATTCCAGGGGAATTTAACTCAACTCTAATGGATTGAGTATCAATTTTACTCTGCCATGTGGCCGGAGGAATTATCTCCCTAATTCAGAGGCCACAGCGTGCGTTGCACTCTGAGGATAAATAAAAAACAGCGATGAGGTGAACAAGAGGTCGTTTAATCTCGAGTATCTTTGAAAAATCCATTTGCATCAGGGTATGAAAAAGGAAAGCTGTCTAGCGCAAGGGCAATGTTTTTTCAATGGAGACTAGCGCGGGGAAAAATAGAGAGACGCGAGTAAAGGTGGAAGAGAGATTGAAGTGATCTTCAGTGAATAGCCACCTGTTTCCGCTTCTTCTACCCATTTTTTCGCAGCAAGGTGGTATGTTTACACTTGCGTCCGAGTATAATCCCGTGGGAAACGGGCAGTGATGAAGAAACATGCGAATTTTTTGCAAACAAAAATAGATTTGTTTTTTTCGTGTCATGCGAACATGATGGATACACGATTCGCGAGGTTTCCGTTATTTTTTTTTTCATATTTATCGCTTATTTTGAATTGAGTCGTTCGGAGGGCTATTGTCGGTCTGGATGCATTGACAATGCGAAGGGAGACAAGACTGCGTGATTGCACTCAATGCAATGCACTTCAATGCACAGCGGGGTGCTGAATTAATAAATTTGCATAGTCTCGACACACATGTCCCCTTGTGCGCTCTTGACTCGGCGTTTACGGGCCATGAGATGAATCGAAATGACCGTGAGGGAGGTGTGTACAGTTAAACGATGAAGAAAA